TGCTGGAAGCAGGGATGGGACCGGGGAGCAGAGATCCCACCCTGTCCCATGGCACTTTCTAGCAGGAGTAGCGTGGTCCAGCGGCCACACAGTCGGCCCCAGATGCTTTGTTTCCACCTCTGCCACTGTCTTACATCATAGCCACCGGCACATCCCCTTCTACCTCCATAGCTCACCAGTCCTCTTAGCCTGGAGGGGTTTTGGCATCAGTCCCAACCAGTCTCCCAGGTTTGGATGCAAGCAGGTGGATTTTGAGGATTAGCAGGAGCCGGGATGAGCCAACGCTGAAGAAAGCAGGATTTGAGCCCTGATCTCGATGCAGAGCTGAGCCAGGCCAGGAGGAGGTTGCCGACACGGCAGCCTGTGTCCCCCCTCCTGCGCAGCCGGCAGCTTCGGTCAAGAGAGGACAGGGCTGAGCAGAGCTCTGGGTTTTTTTCTTCCCATGAATGCAAACCAGAGCCAAGCACCTTATAACCCGCTGCCTGCGTTCCCCGTGGCTACTTGAGTGGGGACAGGATATCTGGCCTGCACGCGAGGCTGAGCCTCCCTGTCTTCACCCTGCTATTCCCCACAGCATCCCTGCAGTTTTACCTCCATCCCGTGCCTTTTTAGCTCCAGCTGGACCATTGCACTCCTCTGCCCCATCCCTGCAGCCCAAGTAACAGTGGATAGGAGAGTGGTGCCAGGCCAGGGCTGCCTGTGGACTGGCAAGGCTCATCCCACATGGGTGGGGAAGATAAAACCTCTATTTTTAGGCTTTACTGGACCAGCTCAAAGCGTTGAGCCTCCCCTGTGCTGATCCAGCAGCCAGACAAGGTTTAGAAATAAGGAGCAATGGAAATGCTGAACTGCAGCTGAAGGATGGAGGGAGAAGAAAGGCTGCGGCAACCCAACCCACAGCAAGATGCAGAGCTGGGAGCAAAGAGGAGCACGGAGCAGCGCAGGGCACTGGCAGCAGCTTGCAGCTTCTCACCAGACAGCACGCGCCAGCGGCTTTTCCATCCTTTGCGCCCCCATACACGCATGAAATGAGAGCGTGTCTACGCCCCGGTCCCAGCTCCCGCTCCCCCGCCCAGCACAGACAATAGTGTCCTTGTGACCGAGACACCCATTCCTGGATGTGAACGTGGCGAGGGGAGGCCGAGCAGCTCCGTGTTTGCTTGGCCTCTTGCCCCCACCCAGGGCGATGGCCACAGGGCACCCACCCGGCTGTCCCCGCGGGCTCCGCAGGCAGCGCCAGGGCAAAGCAGAGGCTATAGGCACAGCCACGTGCGGCAGTGGAAATTCAGGGTCTTGGTGCAAAGATTCCTCAGCATTTTGTAGAAAAGGCACCTCCAGGCTGGGTGGGAGTCAGGGCTGCGCTGGGTCCTGCTTCCATGTGCTGCAAATCTCCTCCCCTCCCACTGTGCTGGGAGGGGGAAGGTTTAATTCAAGGCTGCTTGAGCCAGGCTCACATAACACCCAGCAAATAACATCCTCTGGCAGCAAAACTCAGGGGGACAGCAGCAGCGGTAGCAAACCTGTTGAGGGTTTGCCAGGTCACAAAATAAACTGGGACTGGCGCATTTGGCAGAAGGAAGCTCATTGCATAGCATGACTCTTAACCACTAACATAGGAGATGAAGTATCCAGCGAGGCAGGCCCTCAGTAAATCTCATTCACGCTGGCGTCAAACTGAGCATGTAATCCCACAAACACCCCTGCTCCCACGCACGCCTGGTGGGTACCTGGCCCAGAGGCCTGACTGCTGCTGTAGGATGCTCGTGCATTTGCTGCTGAAAAACTGCCACTGCCGCCTCCCCCTGCCCAAATCTGTGTCCCATCATCAAAACTGGCACAGGGGGCCAAAAAAATAATCAATTGCAGCAGCGGGGAGGGAGCCGAGCTGCCCTCGGTGTTTGGTTTCACTCACGCTCAGCCGAAAGCTGACTTTAACTTCAAGTGCAGTGAGGGTGATGTCAGATTTGCAGAGAAACCATGATGGCCACCTACTTGACTCTTCCTCCAGAGGAACCAGACTCTGGCGGGCAGGTACCGCCCCATTTCATGGGAGGGATGCCCAGGGATGCCCCACACAGAGGCTGGGAGATGCCAGCAGAGGAGCTGGGCCTGTGAACTGGCACTCCCTGGTTATTAAGTCCAGATATAAGCAGACTCAACATCTTCAGCTGCCAAGGTCCTTTTTCATTTTCTATTGTGTGGCTTTTTTTTTTTTAAAGCTGACAAGACTCAGCTGTAACAAATTAAAGGAGCTGAGTTTCTCATCACCGTTCAACACGGTTATTCTGGGTGACTGAGACCAGAGCCCCGGGTGTCCACAGGCTGGGGAGCAGCCTGTGGCACAACCAGCCAGGGCAGGGGAGTGCAACACAAATTTTCATCAACAGACACAAAAAAAGGTGGGTTTTGTGGCTTGAACGTACATAGCTTCTTAAGGCAGCTGCTATTCTATTGGAAATGAAGGACAAACCCACCTTGGATGTCTGTCTCGATATTCCATCACAAGATCAATGCCAGTAATTAGGCAAGCCTTGCTAATTTTCAGCAATAGCCTGCATGGGGAGGGATTCCCCGCTCCAATGGGGAGACCTCACCGCTCTGAACTGTTGAATGCAACCTTCCTCCATTCTTCCTCATCTTGTCCCATGTCACCTCCATGCAGCCACTGCAAGAGAGCTCGTGCCACTGCTACCAAGAGCAAAACAGTAAGAGCCAAGCAAATCAGTTTCTTAAAACTTATTTTAATATCCATGTTTCATCTGTTGGGTAGAGCCAAAACAGTCTGGCCTGGTTTAAGTTACAAATTCTTCATACACTTTTCTTTAAGTAAATGAACAGTGTGGCAATAGGGTCTGTTACTGGAAGTGAAACCCATATTAACAAGGAAGGTGTTGCAGCCAGAATTCTACCAGGGTTCTTCAGTGCTATCAGCCCCAGGAAAGGCCAACACTGGCCCCAGGCCCCTGGATGGGT